AGGAATCTTTTCACATTTACACATATGTCCAGATATTTATATTTGTATACTGTTTAACAGTACATATATTTCAGTGTCTGTTTTGGAAAACATAGTCTTTCACACAACTGCTTGGCTGGTAAATGTTTGAATGGAATTTAAAATTATGCGATACGTACGTGTAGTTGTTTTCTGTGAGCCAGCAGCCACCTTCGTCATCATGAACCAATTGTAAACGAGCCTATTAGCCACTGACGTATTGAATCATACAGAATATATATCAAGCATCTCAGAAACCTACAAATGGTCGATTTCACTATAAATTGACTCCTGTACTATAAAGGTCACAAACATACATTAGCACACATTGTAACAAGTACGAATTAACTAAATGACCGAATATAAATAATACCCACTAAAACTAAATCAGAAAAGGAAACTGTTTTTTTTAAGCATTTTTTTCAGAATAAAAGGCCTCCCCAACATATACTGATTTCAGACCATACTCCATAAAACTATTAGGGTTACAGATGATAAATTAGGTATCTGTCAAGTTTGTATTTTAAGTTCACATTATAAGGTGTCTTTATCGTCATGGTTACAGAGAGTATTGATGGATTTAACTGACAGTAAATCAGTATTCATAGACTCTTGTCATTGTCATCAACGCCAGGTGAGACGAATCCACAAAAGCAAGATTAAATGTGTGATGACAAGTAAAATGCATTATGGGAAATTGAAGGATGAATTTTTCTTTTTTAGCAATTATCAAATTACATTTGTACAACATTAATTACTGACGGATCAGTAAAAATGACAAACGTCTGGCAAATAACGTTCGTAATCAACGATGAATATTTCATTTACGAAAAGATCAAACAGTCATTTTTACAGCATCTTTGATCAAAGATTCAGCGTTTTTGAATGTCACTGGGGTTTAAGTGTTACTCAGAGTTTTTCACTATCCCCGTCTTAATATCAGTTTCACCAAAATACAAGGCAACATGCCCTGCAACATCTAGGAATTGCAATGCATTATGGGTATGGTTGCTAAGCAATATCCTGCATCTGATTATATGAGTAACCAAATGACATTCTCCCTCATGGGATTGCAATGAATGATGGGTATCTGAGACACATCCAAGACAACGGTTGCTATCCGATATTTTGCAAATTATGGGTAACCACGCAAATATGTCCAAAATACCTTGCATTTCAAAGACCAGGCATACTGCAATAATTTTCATTGATATATCAGAAAATATTATCATCCGCGTATTTTAAATGAAAATCACCAACTGGTCCCGAAATAGCATTATGAGGCGAATATCAACTTTGTTGGTAAATTTGGCCCTCATTTTAGGTGTGTCTTTTCCACTCGTTGGTTCTGATTGAAGGACTATAGTTTACAGTCTGTACAATGTGTGAGATCACCAGATAACAATATCACTTAGTGAAATCAATGTTTGAACTTCCAGGCCAGCCCATGAAATGTACATGCTTCAAACACTCTTTGTCCAGTTGCCACACCACAGCCTGTGTGTGGTTTTTTTTAACCAATGACAGTACAGAGCATACATCAGACGTCAAAACATGGCAATGACAAACAGCTTTATATGTACATTAACATTAGTGCAGGTACCCACAATACCTCAAACTCTTGTCAGTTCAAGTAATATTTAAAATTCTCAACCAAAAAATGTTGATGTTGCCATGTTTTTGCAGGGGGTTGTTATGACGACATAGCTAGGGACTTTTCACACATTCCAGGGAACAAATTGTGCGTGTCCTACCTGAGTCCATATTAGGAATTCTGGCTTTTGTACTGTTTAGATAAACAGATAAAGTAAACTACTACATGCTGTAGAGATTAAACCAATGTCACATTTGAGCACTGTTAAACTAAAAATTCAGGTTGCAATATCCTGTTTTATATTTTGCATGGCTGCCTGGCACCATCTGTTATTTTCAAATGGCAAAATATCTAGCAACTTATTTTCAGGCCACTATGATTGAGTTTTATGTTATGCATCTGTGATAGAGTCAAAAATGTTGATCTTTCTCGATTTAAGAGCTGAACTTGAGACTGTACTTAATTATTGTATTTTTGTGGTTCTAATTTGTTGGGCAATTGAAAGAGTTCAATCATTCATTTTCTTGGGGGTGGAGATAGAATTTGTCATGTTTTTTGACTCCATAATCACTGAAATGTTGATTCTGACTGGAAATCGTATTACTGCATTTAACAAATTGTTTCACTGCCCACAAACCATATTCTGTGTATTAGCAGCTAATACCATATTTGACAGAATGTATTTCTGGCCACAGACCATAATCTGTGTATTAGTAGCACCCATACACTTATGTATATGACAGGTGTAGTGAGTGCCAATGGTCAAAACAAGATGTGTTTTACTGATCCACCATACAATAAATGATACTAAGTACTTGTATTAGATGTGGTATTGAGAATATTAATTCATGTGTTAACTTTAATTACTTTAACTGGTGGCCTTTGTTTTCATGCCTCACAATGGGTCACAACAGAAAATAGAAATGAACAAACCATTTAGGTATTAAGAGGGTTGAGGCCAGTACGTAACTCAACAATATACATTGATTGGGTAAAACATTTTCAGGTTTGTTGCAAGAACAGTTCGACAATGAAGTTTTTTGTCTATATGAATGTACATACCTCAATGTTAAAGTTCTGATTTATCGGTACTTATGAATATCAGAACTTGAATTTAAGAAGCCATCACATCATCTCAATGCCTAAATTGATAAAATGCCCATGACATTTAGGAATATCGAAGACATCAACACAATAGCATTATGATGTACAAACCACGCTAATAACAATACTGTAAAACGGGTCTTTTTAGCTAGCATGTTATTTTAGCTAATTTAGCTAATTTAGCATTTTGCTAATTCAAGATGTCACTAATTTAAAATAAAGTATATTCTCAGAATGAGATTGTTGGAATTTTAGCTAAATTAAGATTCAGTTAATTTGTGCATGGAGTCAAATTCTCTAAAATGGCATGTAGCTATTTAAACATGTTTTACAGTAGTCAAGAGCTGCACACTGATATGCAAATTAGGTACCTCCACATATTAAAAATCTCTCCCATACTCAAACATAAAGTGCAAACATAAATTTTTTTTTTACAAGCCATTTTTTTTATTTATTGAGCATTTTTAGAGATATGTATATGTACACCATCAAAGTACCATATATACAATGAGTAAGTGAAAAGGCGACTGAACTTTACATGCAAAAAGTAGATACTGTAAAAAAAAAAATACTTTACATTTGACAGTTTAAGATAATCAATCTTAATTACCGAATGAATAGACAGAACATAATAAAAACTGTCACACAGGTTGAACAGACACCATGGAGAACGCACACCTACATTCGGTGTTTGGTTCATCCCTGAATTCAAGGGACATTCAATTGACACATACAACTTGAAACAATCACATGCACTGTACAGAGACAACATGTAGATTTCAGTTTGGTAAACAGGGTCCAAAAATCAGAGGCACTTTAGGATGTGTATTAAATTGGCAAAGCAGTTGGAATATGCTTTCTTTTCAACGAAGTACTTATTTCAGTTTGGGCCAGATGGATTTGATTTTGGACCTTTGGACATAGAAAAGACATTACTTTTGAACAAATCACCTAATTTTTAAAAGTCTAACACATACAACAAGACCTGGAGGAGAAAACTTTAACCTCACCTCCCCATAGAATCGTACAAAGTTCCATGATTATCATTATAAAACCTGTGGAATATTCCACTTGATATTCGGTGGTAGGTAGGATTTTAATCTAACTCTACTGTTTACACTCCGTCATCGCTAACAATGAATGCCACCTAAGAATTGACGCCCTCCGGTGACAAAGTGAAAGCCTGACTGACTGGCAAAAGAACAATTCATCTGCGACCAGTTCCCTTAACCTTTCTTAATGTTTAAGCATACAGCGGGGGAATGTTTCCCCAATCATATGCAAATTATGCACATATCTTTAAAGATCTAAAGTAGGAAAAAGTGAAAGAACCACTTTTAAAAGTAACAAAAATAGAAATTTAAACTTTACAAATTACAATAAACATGCTCTTGATTTGTCTTTTTTTTAACGTTAAAACTTGAAAAGAATCTTGATTACACCTGTTTTTTGTCAACGTACTTGAGTGCTTAGAAAACTTGAAATGTGTGTACCCCCATCATGGAATGAAATAAAATTCTGAGAATACTTTCATTTTTTACTTTAGAAAAAAAAAATTAACGAAGTGTTTTTTTTATCGTTTTATGCTAAATGAAATATACATTGCACTGTTTAAACAGCTAACATGCAAAGTTTGTCTGTTTCAATAGTACGTTTGAAGGGGGAAAAAAACTTTCCAACTTTTGCCCAGGGATGAGAATCGGTTCTAGATCATGGGGAATGGATGTGTGCTACGGTGGAGATTGCGTTTTTTAGCTCAAAATATTGCATCAATAATAAAAATTGGTCTTGCACAAAAAAGAATCCTATCACCCAGTTCATATGAACTGCATATAACCCAGGGCATTGGTGAAAATATTTTTTTTCCCCCCCGAAATCTTATTTCCCCCACAAGACTCCAAATTGTTTAACAACTAACTGAAATAGTTAGTTTTAAATTTGTTTTGATACCAGACATAATGCTTTCATATCTGTTCAGAATTTCCTTTTAACTGGAAAATTACACCTGTAAAATTGAAGATCCATACATAACTAATAAATGTACATTTTCTCCACCATACTATTGAAACAGACAAACACCCCTTTCTAAACATAATACTGGTAAAGTTGTTTTTCAACAAATTATTAAATTTTTGCAGACCAGCTGCTTCTTGATAATGCAAAAAAAAAAAGATTGTCTTCATAAATTTTTGCTGAACTACATAAATCAGTCCTTCTATAGAACAAAGTAATTTGATTGGTTGGAACAGATCACATGATCATTATGTTAGTGATAAGCAGCAGCCAATCACAGATCAAAAGTGAGAAAACCAGAGAAACTTTCCTTTTGGGACATTAATTTCTATCCGTGTGTACTCCAGTGTACTTTGACATCTCAGTACATTAAGAAAAGTGCTTTTAACTATGTTTCTCACCAAACAACCACCACTTTGTTCTAGTAAGGAGTTTTGTGGGATTATTAAAACAGAGGCTGTACCTTTGGAATGTAATGAGGGGGCGGCAATGAGAATTTTTATCATCAACAAACATTTAAAAGCAAGCAATCCTTCAGAAGTTGTTAAAAAAAAAAAAAGTCTGACTTTTTTTTTTCATTTGTTCCACGTGAATGAATTTTTTGTATGAAGATTTCATGCAAGGCTGCCAACTATTGTACAGATCTATGCTGAATATAGGTATGAGTAAACAAGTGAATCTTGGTCCAAGCAAAAAAAAAAAGGGGGGAGGGGGTAATTAAATAGCCCTTTTCACACTAAAGCTTTTATGTTTATTTCGGTCTTCCATTACTCATCAAGAAAGAATTTAACAGGTTAAAAAACTTTTCTAAATAGTAAATAACCCTAACATTTCCACTTATCTCTATTTTATTTTGAGGTTTTGATAGCCGTGTTAATACAATATGGTCTTTGATAAACGATTTTTTCTGACTTTTTATGATATACTACAACATTATTTTTTCAAGCAAGTATAAATACCACAGCAAACGTTTTCAGTCTGCATCCAAATTAGGGTAAAGGGGGAAAACTTATAATAAAAAATATAAAAATAACTGAACAGTCTTTGGCAGGAAAAAATGCTGGCAATGAGAGCAAGAACTTTTTACATTGAAATTTGTCTGTCTAGTGCCATATTCTTTGATGCTGTCAAAAACATACAACGAAATTAACTGAACGAAATAAAGATTTGTTTTTCACAGTGGATGGACTAAAATAAAAAAAAAATTGTACAGTAAAATGCTTTTCAATTTGGCAGTGGTTTTTAGCGTGAATTGAATAATAGCTGAAAAAGGCACTCAAAAATTAAATTAAATTTTTATGGACTTGACACATCAGTGTCAATTTCACCTGCTTTGACTGCAGTCAAATGAATTTTTTTTCTTTGCACTATTATAAACATTTTGAAAGCCAGGAAATAGACTTCCTTCCAGAGAAGACATCCCTCATAAACAAAACACAGCCTCTGTTCTGTCACCCACAAAAATAACCAACTCATCCCTCCCAATAATGATATGTCCAAAACACATCAACAAATCATACCCTACAAATAATGGTATGTCCAGACACATCAAATGATATCCAAGGAATCTGCATAATGGACCATTCCAATATGAGCTATGTAGGGATGAGAAGGTCAATGAAATTATTTTTCAACTATAATATTTTAGGTGTTTAAATGAAACTAAGGTAAATTAGTAAAATTTATAAGAAATAAGATCGCAATGGATCAAAAAAAAAATTATACAATATGCAAAACCAGCAGCATAAATTAATTACATATTAACAATTATTCAAGCAATGTCCATTTCCTAACAAAATTGAAACACAGCATTGAGTATTAAATACCCCTTCCAAATAATAGAATCTCCCTCTTTATTTGTGAACATATGTTGCAGTAACATACAATTTTTTTTTTTCACCCCTAGACAGCCTCATGCCAGAATAATATTCTAAATTTAGCTTCATAACTCTTTAGTTGGATTTGAATGTTATGTAATAAATAACAGCCATAAACGAAGACAATTTTTGCTCGTACTTTGAATTAAATTCTGTTTAAAATTCTGCACATCATGCGTATTCAAATAACCAATGGAGTGTTTCATCCTCGTTCCTTTGGAATCTGTTTCCATGGAAACCACAACCTTCATTCCTGATTTTTTTTTTATCCCCTTACCTATCAACATAGAGTGTGAAATACACAATTTCTACTTTCAAAATCATTTTCATACATACGCTCGTTTTGCCCTGTTTAATATTTCAGTGTTGGAGTTTCTCCCCAGATGAAAAAAAAAAGTATTTAACAGACCAACATCTTTACATAGAGGTCCACGAAATAACATTGGTCAGGCCACTCAACATTTTGGCATGTGCAGAAAAAAATTTGTGCGTTGCCCACAATTTTCCCGAGACAGCGTTCGAGACACCAAACCAAGAAACAATTCTTGTACAAATACAAATTTAAAACATTCACATTCAATTTTTTTTATCTCGTGTCCTGCGTGCGCGAACTTCACCTCTGTATCATTCATGGCTTTCAGTTACTGGCCTTTGACCCTTCACCGGGCATGATTCACCTGCTTACACGAGTCGTGGCAACATTCGACTGTTGCTATGGTCGCTGGCAATGATCTAAAGATGCCTCTTCATGTGCAGCGCAAGGTGGTCGGATCGTGAAAAACATCTGTCACAATGATTGCACTTAAATGGTTTGGCGCCCGTGTGTTTTCGGTAGTGTCGTGTAAGTTCATCAGATCTGGCAAACCTCCATTCACAGCCTTCCCATGAGCATTTGTAAGGTTTTTCTCCTGCAATATAAATCATAAATTTTGATTAGTGATAATATTAATATAAATAATCTATCAACCATATATTTAGACAGTATTAACAAACAATATCTTACCCCTTATCTAGAAATAATTTACATTCAACTGTCGATATTTGGAAATAAAATGCCCTTATTTGGGCACAAGATTGCATCTCTACATAGACTTTTAATCACCCAAGTGAGTTACTGTTGAAAGTCAAATTTCCGGCATTTTTACGAGTCTATCAAGTCTTCAATCTCACCATCAGCCAGTGGATTGACTAAATGGTATTCTACTTGAACTACAGACAGTATTATTCAGATTTGTTGTCAGTTTTATGTTGGATTTTTTTTTTTTTATCACTTTTCAATTTACATAAAAACAGAAAATAACTTGCATTACAAAAATGGTTAAAATTAAGTAATTGATTATTTTAGCGAATACTGACCATTCACCACATTTTCTTCTAAATCAATACTTCTATACATTTATAATTAAAATATAGCACTGTGATTGGTTAATAATAGACATGTGGGACAAAATAGAGCACTGTGATTGGGTAATAATAGACATGTGGGACAAGTATTAATTATAGATGTCACTAATGCATTATGTATACAATATGTATTCTTTAAAAATGTATAAAAATAAAACTTACTCATCAATACTAATGGTACATTATTGGATTAATTTTATTTCTGGGTCAGAACGTGTACACAAAAATAAATAAAAAGAATAAAGCATTGTTCTAACTGAAAGGAAACTATTTTTACTACACCATTATCACAATCAAAATATCTTTTCAATTATTTCATCAGTCATTACTCATACTGACAAACAAAATCTGAATCAATAAGGTTTCGCTGTGTCTTCACACAAAAAAAAAGTAATTGCAAATAATCTACGATCAAATCAACAAACTACAACCATAGAGGAGTTTGACAAGTTAATCAAGTAATTGATGTCATATAACCTATTTGCATAAATTAATCATCAATAACATTTTTTTTTACCATACTTTTAAGGACAAGTTTGAGTATCTAATGACAACATGCTTAGTCATAAATATGACTAAACAAATAAAACTCATGAATATTCATGAGCATACTATAAACGAGTTCATTAGCCGTTGAAATATGAATAAGTCTAAAAATGCTTAAATTATTCTGTTAATAATCGTATTATTTATTTTGTAACAGCTGTCAATAATTTCATTTATAAGAAATTTCTATCAATTCAATTATAATAAATTTCAACCCCCCAAAAAATGAAAAAATTAACAAGTAAACATTTTTTTATCATTGCCCCAGTTAAACTTTCAATTAGCTCACAGATGTACAATGTGTTAATATTTGAATAATAAATAATAGAAAATGTTGTCTTCCAATTAATTGCCAAAAATATTCTATCCCTAGTCTTTATTTGCATACTGTGAATATTATAATTTAAAAACAATTATTATTTTTTTTCAATTGCATTGCATATAATTGAACTACCTATTTGAGTCAATTTCAGCTAGCACCCTGTTCAGTGTTTTAGTAACTTAATTCAAAACATCAGAGATATTGGAAAAATTCTTCAGCTAATTATTAATTTTATAGTCCCATTACGACAACAGTATGGTATGCAAAACCACCCACCAGCATATGTATATTGTTGGCATTCATTTCACTAAACCCTGGAAAGACAACCTGTTGAATGAACTCCATAATTATGCAGCGACAGGTGCAAGCCCCCTTATCTTAATCAAAATAATCATAGCCATAGCAGCAAGTGACCCTAACTTCCTGTGTTATTGTAATACATCGGATATCATTGATGGGTATCTTAAGGGGTCACTGCAATGTCAGCCTGTTTCTGACATTCATACAGTTCCGTATTTGATGAATGGTAATTCTGTTCAATCAGAAAAAAAAACTGCACAATACAAATCAGAATTCCTTAATACATTAAGCAAGGACATGCTTTAGTGAGTCAGAACGATATGACGCCATCCTGGATAACAAATTAGCTTTTCACACACATACATATAAGTTCAATGACCAGTCACCTTTTTTTAAAATTTATTTGGTAGCCATGGCAACTGAATCTCACAGCACAGGTAACTAACTAAATTATTACAGCTCAAATGTCAGATGCCACAGAGAGAAAGTAGAATCTACCAAATTTTTTGAAAACAAATTTTTAATAATTTTTTCTATTTTATTTTATTATATTATTGGTTAAAAATGGTTCACAGGTATAGGTTGCTAATATACACATACATATCAATCAGAACCAATATAGTAATTTTACGTTTTTCAAAAATTTATAATTTTTTTTTTATTTTTATTTTTTTCAATACTCAGATATGTTCATTATTCTATATACCCTGAAATAAATTATCATTTATTGAATATTTTTTCAAAATATATTGATCAAGACATCAGTGTGTTCATTTGGTCAAAAACTAACAGTAGAAAATACATAAAAAAACACAAAAATTTTACCAAATTTTTGATACTTTTTTGTCAGTAGTCGCTGACACTACTCATGGCAAATCCTTCTTTCTGAATACTAATTAAATTACTAAATAAATATTGTAAACGTTTTATAGATTCTTTTTTGGTAAAATCACAAATAATTTAAAATTTGATACTGATTAACCGAAAAAAACAACAATTTGAGTATCCTGTCAGCTGTTGAATAAATAGAAAATTGACAAAAAAAAAGGACAGAGTTGTTGACCTCTACACAATTGACCTTTCGCAGATTAAGCAATTAGTAAACAATGGATACCACTTTGTTGACATAACAGAAAATATTAACACACGATTATGGATTATGTGTCAATACACATGCATAGGACTATTAATTTTAGAAACATTTCCATTTTATTTCACTTAATCATAAAATGTCTTGCATTCATTTTTTTTTAACCCTTTTCCTACCAAATTGTTTATGTAACATTTTTACATATTTTTTTACATTTTTTTTGTAAATTTTGGACCAAATATACACAATTTTTTACTGATATATCAAAATGTTGAACAAAAAACACAACAAACAATTCAAAACAAAAATATTGAATTTTGTCAGGTCGCAAAACCATGTGCATAAAAGGTCTATTTTTCTTTTTAATTTGCCTTGAATGTTTACTTGGGTTGAGAAATTATAAACAAATTCAGAATTGTCGCCCACAGTATTCCAATCCATCACAGTGCGTTTAAAGAAGATACAATGTCATTTGATTTTTTTTTTTTTAAACAGAAAAAAATACTATTTCAAACAAGGCTCTAAAAACGAACGTGATATAAGCAGCACGAGACACGTTGCTGGAATTATAATAATATGAACACAAATTGTATAGTAATGTTATGCGTGAATCTTGGCTCTGTGCCAAAATGTCAGTGTTTAAATGTTATCCATTTCAGTTTGAACAATTACTACAACATTTGTGGTTTCACAGTGACTCATCCAGAGTGTGCAGGCTTATGTAAATTGCCATGGCAACCGTTTGTCACATACATTCGTATTATGTTGAAAATCAACCATCATGGGGCCGAAGAGATTTGGTCAATGAAATGACTAATCCATAATGCTGCGTATATCAGTTTATAATATATGAAAGGCAACTGTCTGCACGTAATTGAAAATGCTCATGGGACGTTTCATATTTCTAAATGACCTTACCTGTATGCGTGCGCTGGTGGGCTTTAAGATGTGAACTCTTTGTATACACTTTCCGGCAGCCATTAAACTGACACCGATGAATTCTGCGTTTGTTGTCAGGCGATTCAGCCCTCTTCCCAAAGGGTCTGGATGCAGTTACATTTCTCCCTCGTTGTGTACGCGTCGTTGAGGTCGCCGATGTGGTTGATGCCGCTGTTGAGGCTGCCACTGAATTACTCGCCAGTTGTGGCAGTGCTTTTACATTTTCGGGTGATGATGGAGGGGTCAAAGTCGATTCTGCAACCTTACTAAGATGTTTAAAGACAGACTTGAAAGGGTCCGGGGTCACAGGGGTCGAAGGTGAAAGTTCACCTGAGCTATCCCATGATGCAATACTAGACGTTGAACTTAGACTCAGTGTATCAAGCTGTTTGTCGCTACTATCGCTATCACTAAGATTCGCAGATTTCTCATCTCTGCTGTACTGAAACGGCAGAATAAATTTGTTCCATGGGTTTTCAGGTTCTTCTATCTTTTGGTGGCAGTGTATATGTTTCGGCTCGGGTTTCAGATATCTCTCCATTTCCAGACATGTCTGTAAGGCCAAAGGAAACACAGTTGTAATAAAATATTGAGCATGATACAAATAGCAGATGAGAATATCAAATTACAATGACAATAACTATACACTACATAAAATTTCCTCCCAGTAGACCACAGGAGAACCGATCCCTATCCATCAATCAAAAATACTTAAGGCATTTATCATAAAGATTGATCGCTCTAATCTAAAGCAAGACATAACCCCAAGTCTAACAAATTATTCATAGAAAGACAACCATATGTATACATACTATACACAACATACTCTCTTTCAGAAGGAAAGGAAGAGACAGACAGATTATACTTGGTTGCTAGGAAACATCGCTTTTGTTGTTAGCAACTTTATCCAATCCAAAAAGGTGACAGTGATGTATGTTTATTTTAATGAAGTTTTAACTGAAAAGCCAGTCTGATGAGAACACACATTGAGCACAGTCTCTCACAGTCTCATTTGTAATCAACATTTGCTTATAGGCATTAAATGACAATTTACGTTCGTCTGTTATTTCAATTCGTCATTTCAAAACCATAAACATTTTCGCTCAACTAACAATTTTCATATTTTTTTTTTTTTGAAATTGCAAAACGTTACGAAGCAATGAGAATGTAGTGACTCAAGGGCGATTTCCCAGTTTATACGAGAAATTGTATTTATAGTGATTAATAGCATCTCCGTGACTTGGTATGCATCAGTGCTCACTTAAGATGAAAATCCCTGTGTAGCATCTTAATTAAAGTGCTATAAATGTCTTGTCCCATCTTATTAGCTATGGGTCATATGCATTTTTACAGAGTGCATAAAACACATTTGTTGTTTATACAAAATTCAAGCATCCAATTTAGCAATTAATTACCATGACAACAAGCTAAGATGTTACCATCTTATACCACCGTATACTAGATCATATAATAGAAGTCGTATTGGGATCATTCACACATCTCTCCTTTACGAAAGCACACGTACCACTAATAGAACAGATATACCGTACGTAGTACACTGTATTTTGCATGATGAAACCAATATACATGTACCTGAATGAAAATTAACATTCACAGAGGAGTTCAATTGGAATAAATTCCTAATAAGCAAATGTACATCCATAAACTCCTGGCCATCCTTGTGAGGAAAAATTGTATCAGGTTTTTGTTTTTTTCATATTCCTTCACATGCACAAAATGTAGAGAATATTTAAGAGAAAAATATGGCAATGCTTGTTGCACTGATCAGAATACTTTTGAAAGTAGCCACTGATACAATAATACATCACTGAAAAACCACACTTAAAACTGTTTGTTGTAGTAGTTGTTACTTGATCAGGAGGTTTCACCTCTGTGACCTGTCAGTTACCGGACTATACCATTACAATATTGGCAAGGTTTAATGTGATATTAATTGAAAACTACACTAAAAGCTTTCACCCTCTTAAGTGTACCCTTCCCTCCCCTAAAGACAAAATGAACATTTTTTTTATAATGAATGATTTCATTGTCTAAGAGAGTGTAACCCTCCGAGATAGCAGTATCCCCAATAGAGAAACTTGTGTTAACACCTGCGCTACAGACAGAAATTTATCAATTTTTCAACTGTGCGATAACAGTCTTTAAAAGCCAGTGAAAATACTTAGATGAAACTCAATATTTGTTAAATTTCAGGAGACCAAAATTGTAAACAGGCACATGTTTTTTCGATAAACACTGCAGAAAGCATGACAACAAGCACCTGTCAAGTTTCAGGATTAAACTCTAAGTATGTACAAACTTGACCCCCTAGGTTACTCTTTTTTTCTCTTTAGGATAGTGGTTTACAGTAAAGGCATCGCTTGCAGCATTGATTGGACTAGCATAGTAACTGTGCCAAGGCCCAACTAACAACATCATAAATAAAAAATTTCCGAGTCCAAGAGGTCAGGCCATAAAACTTCAAACAGCATATTTACTATGTTGTCTTCACATTAATTTGGAGTCTAAAGACAAATAAAATGCCTTCATATACAATGCCAAGCATTTTTAGAATTATTAGTTCCTCATTAAACCTGTATGAGGCGAGTACACTTAGAATCAACCGCACAAAGCGGTCAGACAATACACACTGCCATTCCCACATTCAATTGCACCTCCAGTGTTGCACACATACAGGAAGCTGCGACAGCTATTGCCTTTATTGGTATTACTGTTGCACCCAGAGAGACTTGGAGGCTGTCCAAACATAGTTGCATTACTCTACGCAATTAACATAACAAGGTGTCCAGTCATACCTGTGTGGACAGGAGTGTGATAGATTTCACGTAGACCAATCTGACAACGAAGTCATGCATACATGCTCGTTTCTACATTGAACGTGCTGTGCAAACTGAAGTGTTATTATCTCGTATCTGCTGGTACTTTGTTAACATGCTATATCTCACCTCAAGCCATATTTTTTTCAACACACTGGATTACAAGCTATTTGTACGATTTTGTTCAATGCTATTTTAGCCCCCCCCCCCTATTTCTAAATAAATTCTTATCCTAGTCACTTTCATCCTGATGTATATTTTTATGAAATTGGACATCCCGTTGCATTTTTGTTAGTTGCATGCTCATGTTGCAGAGGGCATGCACGATGACCGGTAGGCCATAGCACCAATACCATCACAGCATGTGAAGCCAGCAGTTGTACCAATCGAAACAACAAAACAAAACTTTCAAAAAGAGTATAACTATGATAATCTAGATAGTGTTTCAGGATGTCCATGAGTATTTATAATCCTTGAACAGAAAAAAAAAATCTCAATGAGGAATTTTGCATAAGCCAAGGTCCCCAGATCTTCCCTGACCTTCGATCAAATTACACTTTGACAGTTGTAACATCCAACCATGGCTCCCACTATCAATTGATTAAATGGATGACATCTCCTGCCCTTAGCTGTCACACAACTATTCACATAAAATCCCAGCCACAGTTCTGATTACTCAAGCCTGACGGTGTGGTCTTTAAACCTATGCTAATAACAGCTATGTTCCAAATCACTGGAACAGGTTCTCTCTTTACCACAAAAACAATGTTTTTCTTTTCTTGCATCATAAGATGGCGGTAACCGGATTAAACCGATTTATTAAGTAATCTGATTTATTATCCAATTATTAGTCACCCCAATCCTATTAATTTTTTTTTGCCACTTTCAATATGATGAAATGTTTTCTTCTTGATTTTACAAATCAAGAGTCACTTCGCGCACAGGCGCACAGGTGCACAATAAAACAGGTGTATATTTTTATAGCTGACTAGAGTTTGGGGGACTGGGTACAAATTTATTTGAAAGTTTATTTTCTCTTTTTTAAAACTATCGATAAATTGGAGCTTACATGTTAACTGTTAGAGAATGAGGATATGCAAAGTTTTGGAATATAATCAATTAAACCTCCCAAATAAACTTGATTAAACTTAATTAAAGTAGACAAGATTACAACAGCTCTGCTTCCGGGCTGTATAAACCTTCAACTAGTGTGAAGTGTTTTTTTTTTTCACAACTGCGAACGAGTTAGAAATGCTGTCAATGGCAGTTTGGATTGCTTGTAAACTTTGTTTCACAACATTTAAAAAGTGCAAGAAAACCATGTGACTAGTCTTTTTCTTTAAAAAAAAACAACTGACAGACTCCTTCAGTACCGCCAAGAAGTCAAGAAACTGTTCCAACACGTCTTGTTGTGTACACCGAATACAGAATTTCAATTGTACCTGCTCAGAAAGCATTATGTTTGAAGGGGTTCCCATTGTCGGTGCCTTGTATGGGAACCCAGTAGCTTTTTGCATATTGAAAAACTTTGAGCTTCAGTTCATTCTGTGTATGCAGAGTTTGAGCAATGGAATGCTATTGGTGTATACATGAGATTGAATCAAGGACAAGAGGCCATTGTGACAAAACACACTAAAGATACAATACATGTTTGGTATGCAGTTTCTTCACTGTTAAATATATAATGTGGGAACTGGAATTGATTCACAGACTCTTGACTTTATGCGTTTAAATTCCAGCAAATCTACCGGAGGTAAATCATGCCGTGATCGACAGCGGTATTATGAGTGCGTTTGAAATTATTACGGTACCCTGGCGCCCGTGGTGCCTGAGAAATATACAAATAAAACATAATGACCTGTTTATCCATATATGGGCATTTGTTTATGGGGTCAGCAAGGAAGCTGTTTGAACACACACACGCACGCACCAAACGTTCACATAAGAAGAACAACTTTGATCGCGAATGCCAACTTTGCTGGACATGTATGTCTATTTCAGTGATGTAGGACAAGGGATTGTGTTTTACTAACTCCCGGGAGCAGACTTCGGGAAATGTCATTGAGCTCCGACAGCTTGTTCTGTCGTGCAAACTGAAACCTCCGCTTCCGGGTCAGTCGACGTTTAGACATCGCAGTCTCGTCATTAAGATTCGGAAAACAAGTCAGACATCGGGCAAAGCCATTCACAAAATATCAATTCTCAACACGTAGAGGTTTGTTTGAAGACTGGTAATAAATAAAACATTCGATATACTGCCCGCACAGCGAATAATTCAAAGTCAACTGACAGGACTGACAGGGATGTAATAATAAGGAAGCCACGCAAACGCTCAGAAGACTGGTTTCGCATGTAGAGCCATTATTTTGATTATCGAAACCATTAAAAATAGGGAAATGGCGGTACTTCCGCCAAGTACAAAACAAGTCACGTACAGACGTTGTCGATCCGTCCATACTTATAATAATAATTGCGATGACAGTCATGGCATAACAGCCTTCAGATCGTAGTTGGCACTCGCACAGCATGATCCGATGCAGACATGATATACGTTCAGTCTGCACCGCGCATGCTAAAATTACAACCATAGGAAGTGAGTAAAAATCACGCGAATTGCGTGGTTTTCCCACACCGGAACGCGACAAAAACCACTTCCACAACACCAAATATGGCCTGCAACAATTTTTGATCATTTTGCATGATCGGATGCCAAATAAAAATCAAATAGTCTGGAAAACTGACAGCATAATAATATCGTACTTACTTGATGCCAGTGCTCTTCGAGCGATGGCAATGCCGAGAAGTAACCAGTACTATGAACCACTTCAAGTTCATTGAAGATTGCAGAACTTGGTAGTATGTCCATCTCTACTGCTAGGAAAACTCCACAAAAATGTGGACTACAATAGGGAATGTTTTGTAGACTTGTACAGTTTGTCAAAAACACGTACTCGTTGCAGGTTGAGTATGAACACAAGAGCAGAGCTTCGCGGTGATCACGAGTGCGAGTAAACCTAGGACTATATTATGTAAATGAGGTTAGATGACATGAACATCCCTTGTTTTGAAAACCAACCAATGACGAGCAGACTATTGTCAACCAAATGGCGCCTAATGGACCGTTAGCCAATTGAAATATCGATTACATCTCGCGCCAAGATTCCCATTAATGGAACTTATAACAACGTATATGTGATTGGCACAGACGCGATATGGCGTGACCATATATGGCAAGTGGAGAATGTTAATAAGGCAGTCTATTTTTAGCCTCCTATATAAAGCCGTGCAACGATGTCGCGAACAGTTCTCATTTGCCGTACGTGAGTCACCCAGTAAACATGCTCGTACTCAATTCGGACAAGGTGAATGTTCTTTTAACCCAGAATTTTATTTTCTCAAAAAGAATTAAATCTATGGTTACACGAAAATAAGCTACATGGAAAACGTTAGTCACCGTGTAGCACATTTCGTGACTTGTAATCAGTTTGTGCCAACCCCCTGACCTCTCGTAGTGGTGCCGAGTAAGTTAACTTTCGTAACTTCCAAACGTCTGCGGTGCACAATCTTTAGTTATTTTGTCGATACAAGTAACTTTGATTTATCGCCGATATAGTATTATATGATACATGTTCCTATAGTAGCGAACAATTGTATTTAATCTTTGAGTTCCTCCATTGTCCCTATGGTATACGGATCCTCTGAATAACGATACCCGGACGATACGACGCAACCCATCCCCCATTGGGGCTACACTGACCTACAAACCATGGTCTCTACCGGTACGTCCCGCGATGTCTTTCACACCATGGAAGCGTTGGTACTGTTAGTTCCTTGCATGTTCACTACCAACCTCACTACATTAACGCCTCTTTTGATCCTCATCAAATTACCACCCCCCCCCCGCCTTGCTAAATCAAACCAGCTTTCACAACACACAATTTCGGGGTACAAAACCAGAGGGACGTTATACATTACAGGGAATACCGAAACAAACAGAATAATTCCCCCATGTTGCGATGTCAATACAGCCCACGTTTAACAACTGTGCAAGCCTATGCAAGTTTGATCAAGCACTGAAACACGTTTGTTTCAAGGCCAAACAAACATGTGTGCCCATATTTTATGCATCTAAACACAATTATTTGCTGTAATCAATCTGCCGGATTATTATATTTCAAACGTATCACATTTCCACCAAATGAACCGAGGCCTACTCCAACACCACCCGTTCACGGGGCTGCTGCTTTGCGGGCGTATAAAGGGCGCCACCATGGTCAAATATGAGTTTTTCTCCAAATCGCCGTTGTGTATAAGGGTAAACTAGAAACGTTCTTCCACTAAAATTTGTTAATAAAAAAAACACAAATATTCATGTAGATGTCCACATGTAAACAACGTAATATAATTTCTTTACAGCAATTAAACAAAGAAGAAACATTCAGTAGGTTTAATTTCATATTGACTGGTGTTTTGATTTAGCAAAATAATGCCATTTTTGCATTTTTTTTAGCAACAGAACATAATATTAAACAAAATGCGAATCATTTCAAAGACAGTATTCCATTTATTTCGACTGAAGAATATTCTTTTACTCTCAGGGTTCTAATTTCCGAGACAAAAAAAAATGTGCATTTGCTATTATCATGCAAATTAGCGTCTTTTTTTAAACGTGAGACGATCAAAATACAGTGAATGGCAGAAATTTTATATACATATTTATAAAAAAAAATATTAATACAGATCATTAGCTTTTGTTCATTTTCAAATATTTGAATTGACTGTTGTTCGCTGAGATAGCCGGGTTGGTGATTGCTCAGGAGTGATCAACATTGTCTCAACTAGCTAAAAGTGACATAGTAAAAGCGACTGCTCAACCCTAATTCAAATAAAGTATTTCCTGATTGGAAAATGATTAATCAAAACTCATGTTGATGACAAAATGCCATTTGTGCATTGATCCATGGTGTCAACCATCGCATTTTTTCGTTTTGAAATGTCTTTTTTTTAAAACATTTTTCGTTGTCTTGCATTTTTTGGCTCAGAACCCCCGCCCCCACTGTTTCAAATGATCGACCACTAACAGTCATTTTGATTTATGAAAATCATATTTATAAAAACGTTTATAACATCCCCCAGGTTTCTGACATTCACTGTGGTCATTTTACAAGTATTTTGTTCTTTTGTATAATACCATCATGTACTGAGTTTCTGTTTTCTGGTTATCTGATTACCCATAACACCTCGCGTTTACGCAGGACTCGCTTCAAACATAAACTTTGAAATTCACTAACCTGAAATTCAAATTATGACACGTTTCACAAACATCATAATAGTTTCCATTTTTTTTTAAATATCAAGACCTTGTAGCATTCTTTTAGTCAAACATTAACAACTTGAACGAAATTTATTTAAAAAACTGTGCACAAAATTGTATCTTTTTCTAGAATAGTTTTGACAGTTTACAAACTGTGCCAAAGTATGTTTCAGTTCTCCGGGGGGGGTAGCTCCACGAAAATGGCAGATTTAAAGGGCGGTGGTCGTCGAGCAGCCCATGTTAGAATTTCATGTAAACAAACAATGTATTTTACACGCGTTGAGTACGCCGCTATGAGTCACATATCGAACAGGACGCGACGCGGCGACCACCCCCTTTAAGTGCTCTCTATAGTGTTTACAGAGATCTCAAACATACATCCATCCCGTTCAGAAACTTAATAAAGCTTTGAAAAATTGACGTGGCAAATTCAATAAATATTTTGTTCCGACTTTATTTTCACCACTATTTCGTCCTCGGATAAGGAGAAACTATGACAGACTCGCTAAGGTAGAGGCATCTTGCTAGGCATGAGATTAAAACAAGCGTGTGATTCAAAGCTATGAACACTGGGAAATAAAATGAGCACTGTGTAATTTATACGTGCAATTTTAGTTATCAGTTTTCGCCACATTGTGACGACATATCAATGACCGAATAAACAAAATCAAATTTCAATCACACTGTAGATGGCGCTAGACTAAAAAATACCGGAACTCCAGGAAACTGCTCCATCAATACCAGGTTCATCGACCTTATACTTCAAGCCTTTGTTTGTGTGATTCGTATTTTTTCATTCCAAAAATCGAAGTGTATACATTTCAGAGAAAGATGTCGGTTCGTACTATAGTTTCTGTCCTAAGTATACCGGTTATATTGTAGGCGTAACACATTCCGATATCACATGTGGGCAGTGTTATTTTTAGTTCGAGTCCTTCCAATATCAAAAACTCGTGCTTTTAGTTGCTGTAACTCGGAGTAATAAACAAAACCCGTTAGTTTAGAATTGACTATGTTAACTTTAAATTTCATCATTTCTGAACGTCGGATCTACGATAAAAATAGCGCAAAACGAGAGTTGTTTGTCCCATGCGACCACACCCACATGGAAGGCGGTCATATTATATACAATTTATATGTACGCCGAGTTGGCTTCCGTAAAGACGTCCAACTTTACCCTTTTATGAATCATACTATGCAACTATCCCCAAGACACAATTTTAAACTACTTGTCAAGACAAATTAAAATAATACCTGCGGAATTGTCGACCACACCCATTGAATCATATCGTTTCCCCCCGATCAATGTGCGTCGTGTGTTGTCGTTGGTATGCTTCTAAGACGGTGTTTCATAATATATGGACGTACAAGACGAGTGACTCACGTCTTCGGCCAGCCTCATCTCATTGACTATCCAGGGTCTGGTAATCGTAAGACACACGCACGCATTCCCGGTGGGTAACGGGGCCAGAACGCGGCCCAACGCCGGGTCCACCTGCTATATAGAGGGTCCCAATGGTACATAGTGCAGGCATGCATACACGAACAATCAACCGCGAAAAACTCGTCAAAATACAGCACGCAAGACCGTTACATGGTAAGTCGGCTGGGAGAGAGTTGTGCAAATCAACGTTGCCTCTCTCTGTCCTAAATTTCACACATTCGAATCCATAATCCATCGTACACGCCATCACGGCGAACAACAGCCCAAATTGTTCGACTAACGCGTTAGTTAGGTGTGGTATACATACACAGTTCATACACACAACGGTCACTGCGTATGCATGCATAATTAATTTCGTCCGGCGTTTGAAGAATACTGTCGCCTGCTTTTCTAATGAGTCTTTACATTTAAAGTCTGATCACGAACACAATTATGGTTAATTCGATTTATAATGGCGTGTTCATCATTTAGTTGGACGCACGGAACGAGCCTGTTGACGTAAGCCGGTGACCGGGCCACCATGAACTTCTTGACCCAGTCGGTACTTGTACACATTGTACCAGTTATTTTATCGAGTGTTTCGAAACGAATAACATCGTAATATATCAGATTAAATTGGCGTTTCGCGTACTAGGGCATTGACACACGCACCCGGTATTGGTACGGATCATGTGGGGTTAATCCCCCCCCCCCCACCAATAAACAGTTTATTTTGAACAGCCTGAAATGTACAAGGTAATATATTCACAGTGATAGAATGGGAAAAAAACGCTGCATTACTAGCCGGAAGTCGTAACGACTTAATGACATCATTTAGCGGCTAACGGCATAATATCTTCGTCAGCCAATGTGGACGGCCATGGATTCCCATGGCTTCGACGAAACCAGGCGAATAGGACGATGACGTTGTAAGTACGTACCGACTGCTAATTCATCTTCCAGATGATTTTAGTTCTACCAAACACATGTTCGATATACGACTCTGGTCGCGGCGGAGAATACTGGCATAAGGGAATCACCAGTTAAATTGACCGAGGGGGTGCCAGTGAATTTCACATGTATGTTAAATAATCACAAGTCCTCCCCCCTAGTGTATATAAAAATTGGGCTGTCCTCC